ACAACTCATTAATTTTTTTTCCAACATGAATTTAAGGATATTGTAATTGACACTAGTCTTTAATGGAGAGATTATAGATTCGAATTCTCACACCATTTATTGTACTAAAAAAAATCACTAACTTTTTATAAAAAGAAAAAAATCTTTGTTTTTATATATTTTTTAGTTGTCAATCCTTCAAGGAGGATAAGACTTCTTAAAAAAAAACTAGTGTGAGAACTAATCTCACAAGGAATTAAATATTTTCAATTATTGTTGAAAGTTTTATTATTATTATTTCTCTCTTTGTTAAAATTAATGGATAAGGGGAATCTAGTAAAAAGTTGAAGATAAAAGTAAAGGATGGAAACACTGTTTCTGAATCTACAGCTTCCATTTAATTTAAATCTGAGGTGGAGAGTGAAAATGAATGATAAGAAAGATAAAATAAATGAGGAGATATCCTGTTACTCGTCGTTATTAAAAAGTTAATCAATTAATTGGTATTTATTCTATTTTCTGGTATTGTGATAATACATGTCTATGTTGACTCTGAATGAAAAATTGACAACTTGTTATTTTTTAAAAAAATATATACTTTTGTTTTTTTTTTCTTAGTTATTAAATATGGAACATGGAACGGGAAGAGTACAAAATAAGTTTTCACCACCAAAATAAGACCTAGTTGGACTAGTTATGGCAGAGTTAGAATCTTGATCCCGTACGTTTTCACCATTTTAATTATTTCGTAGCTAAAAAAAGAGAGAAAAGAGAGAGGTAATGAGTACCTAAACCAGCAGAAATGCTGGTAGAGCTATGGCCAGCACCGAAGGCATCATAAGCACTCTCCTCCCTCTTGGGAAACCCGGCGAGCCCAAAGGTTTGGCGGATGGTATGCATTTTCGACCTTCTACCGGTCAGCATCTTATGGACATACGCCTGCCCATTAATTAATTAATTAATTTCCGTTAATTCCCCGACACGCGACAACATTATAATTTATAGTAACATGTATATGTAATTAGAATATACCTGATGACCCACATCCCAAATAATCTTGTCTTCTGGAGCGCTGAATACATGGTGAAGCGCCACCGTGAGCTCCGCCACACCCAAGCTCGAACTCAGATGCCCACCTATCTTGGACACCGTGTACACTACTTCTTGTCTAATCTCGTCCGTCAACAATTCAAGCTCCTACAAATATTAAATTTTCAGTTAAATAAAATGTTATTAATTAAATACATGGCCGTTTAATGGTTTATTTTAGTTTTAGGCACCTGGATGGAGAGATTTTTCATGTGGTTGGGATAGTTGATGGTGTCGAGTATAGGAGTGGAGGGCTTGTCTCCGGTGAAGCTGAGAGGCGGCTTCTCCAACTTCACTACTCCCCCATTACTGTCGTCGCTCTTCTTCACCGCCGCCGCCAACCTTTGTCTCTCCTCAAATGCCCCATTATCCCCACCCCCACAACAAAAAACCACCCCATTCAACGACTGCAAAAGTACAGTAGTACATCAAAATATATTATCACTATAATTAATTAATTTCTCAAAATTAAGATAAGAGAGACGACGGACCTTATGCTTGGGTTTGAAGGTGAGACGCCAGTCGTGGGATGCTCCAGCTCGGAGGAGAGGAAGAAGAGAGTTGGTGAGGAGGGAAGACATTGTGTGCTGCTACTGGATCGATCGAGATGGGTTCGTTGATGCTTGTGGTCGTCGTTTGGTCGTACTACCACACAATGCCCTCCCCTTGGCGAGAGAGAGAGAGGAGATGGAAAGTGTGCAATTTTAAACCAACTTATTACACCATTTTATAATACCACTCTCATTCATTTCATTACTCTTCGCTAATTCCTCCCACTACTTCCCTTTTGCACGTGCCACCTCTTCTTTTCGATCGTGCGAGCAGTTCAATTCTTAGTTTTGTGACAACAAAAATAAATAAGATTCACGTGACCTATTTATTACAATAAACTATAATTAATCAATGATTAGCCACACCCCATCACTCATTCTCATCACCTCCCTTCTTTTTTTTCTTTTTTTTCATCCGTTCATATTACTTTCCTCAAACCTAATATTTTAGTTCAAATAAGAATTTAACCCGCAACTCCAATAATAAAAAAGAATAATAATTTGGGAGACACGTATCAAGAGTATTGATAAAACTACGGTTTTACATAATTTGTTATGCATTAAATTTGGGAACTTAACGTGAAATATGATTGAATATTAATTTTTCTTAGAAAATAATAGTAATAATAGAAAAATATTTTTGTCCTCGTCAGTGAGAACGAAATATTGTCTTTCCAATATTGAGCATTTAATAGGGGTTAGTATGAGATATGTGAGAGAGCCGTGTATTTTTCATAATAATAATAAATTGGAAAGGGTCAACCACGTGGCTCACGTTTCCCGCTTGCGTACATGCTCTTGTTTTCATATCTTCGAAATGTATGGCTGATAACAAAATAACATCCTGTCACTCTCACTCTCACTCTGTATATATAGAATAATATAATATAGATGTTTGAAATTTGATTGGCTGGTGTGTGCCTCAGCACATAGTTCTGTATTTCCATTGGTAGTTTTTTTTTTTTTTTTTTCCTTCTTCTTTTAGTACTTGCATTGGTAGTTGATGAAAATGGTCGCTTCTGAAAATTTTACTCTATTTTTAGTTTTAGTGATAATGAATGAGATCGTAGAAATATAGTATTTTCTTTTATTTTCTATCTTTTTAGTATCTCTAATATATAAAAAAGGAAATTTTACTTTTCTTGAAGTTAGAAGTTCAAATTTCCATATTCTCGCTATATTAAAAAAATAATAATATATAAAACAAAATTTAGAAACAAACCTAGAGTTATATAAATATTTAACAAAATTTTTATAATGTATTAAAAAAATGTTTAGAAAGAAAATGTTAGCAAGTTCATGTTTAAAATTATAAAAAAGCTAAAAAACGGATATAACCATGTTACTAGAAATGAGATAATCTATTTTTAAAGCCTTTTTATTAATAATTTTATGTTCTATATTTTACTTATTAGTTATATTATCAACGTTCTTGGAGCCATAGATAACATTTAAAAAATTAACTAGAGAATTGTGTTTATCAATCTTTCTTTTTTCTTTTTTTTTTTTTATAGATTTTATTGTCATCTCTCCTGAAAGTTTCATATTATTGTTATCTTTTATTAAATAAATACATTAAAAAAATAAAGAAGAATATCTTAAAATTGTTTGACTGCATCTAAAATGATTGAAAACAAAGGTGATTTTCATGCGACTAAAAGAAATAGCCAGACGATGTCTGCCTTCTGATATATTTAAGAGAGCAAATCTCATATCAGATTTATTGGATTGGTATGATTACTCTGGAGAAGTAATCCAAATATTGGCCACTTAATTAATTGTTATTTTTCAACTTTAAGCCCCAAATCATTTAAAAATTTGTTTATTTTTCAACACTCTCGGTCAAATAATATTTAGCAATATGATCAAATTTACTATCATCACATGTTTTAAATTTGAAAAATGCCTTCCCTTTAATCTTTATGCTATTTTAAATTTGGGCATCATATTTTTCATTTTAATTATAAGATATAAAAATCATTCTTTCTACAAACTATTTTTTCCTGGGTCAAAAATTGGATAAATTTGATGCGTCACGCTGTCAAGTTGTGAAATCAACCAATTATAAACTCCTTGATCTAATTTAAAGAATATAAACTGAATATAATCTTTTAAAATATGAGTGAAAATTTTTATTTCATATAGTGCGAATGATTTTGAGGAAATTGTACTAAATGTCATAAAATAAAATATGTATTTATAAAAGTACCATTATTTTTTTTCGTTTTTTTTTCCTAAACAAAAGAGATTTTGATGGGTCTCAAATTATGGTTTTTTTTTTGTAAAATATTAAATCTAATGCTATAAATATAAATATATAAATTTTTGTAATTCTCTTTTTAATAAAAAGCTGTGTCTTTTATTTATTATTTTATTATTATTATTTTAGAAAATAGGGAGAGATTTTTAATATTACCGGAATTGCAATCCTTATCAGAAATCAGCTGCTTTTCCCCACTTTTTCAACGGTGTGTATTTGTCCGCAGCACAAATCATCATTGTGCGAGTAAAATATTGTGAAAGTTTTCAAGAAAACGGGTCATAATTTTTTATTTATTTGAAGTGCAATTTAAAGGTAAGATTTTTTTAATTTCAACTTGACAAAATGGACTCTCCCTAAGGATATTTTTTAGTGTACTTTTCATGAACATGTCTGACTCTACTCAAATAAATCATAAGTTTTTTTAATACGACGAGTGGAATGGAAGATTCGAACCTATGATCTTTTGGTCAGATACAGGTACCAATTATGGTTGAGCTAAGCTATGTTGACAAATAAACCCTAAGTTTAGTCTGGGATAATAAATATCTATATATTTAGATTTTTTTAAAATTAAATCTTTAATGCCATATAAGCTCCAAAATCAAGTGGCCCCCTTAAATCTTAATAATGCAGTGATTTAAAAAGGCTGAAAATTGAAATATTGAACTTAGTGGTTTAGAAATGTAATAATGCAATCTAGATTTTGGACCTACAAAAGATCTCCTAATTTATTTCATTATGTTGTATAGTTACAATTTAGTCCTTGTGAATCTCTATCAATATCAAACCTTTTTTCTTAATTTGGGTTGTATATAAAGAAGATTGAAATAGGTTTATTATGACTATTAAAATGGTAAAAATTCTAAGGTGGAGCTGAATATTTTCAATAACATAATAGATCTCTTTTATTTGATAACGTGGGTGGCATATGTGTTATTATCATTAATTAAAGAAAATTCAGGTAAAAATTGATCGATTCGAACCTAGCTTAATGGATAAAACGTCGATAATATTTCATCTTCAAGATGGATGGTTTTATCTCTTCACTGCAAATTATTGAACAATAAAAACAAACAGTTACAGTCAAGTTCAAGCTTGTGAAAAAAATCCTTTAGGTAATTCTCAAATGGGTCGTTAATCTTTCAAAGAAAATTGTCCATAATGTATCAAAAGTTATCACTTGTAAAAAAATGGTGTTCATTAAATTGACAAATTAAAATACTTGAAACCCAATTCACTTGTTAAAAAAAAATGCGTTAGACATGCCAGAGTAGCATGTCTAAATATGTTCACAAGCCAATAATTTAACAACATACATCAATTGAAACGGACTCCAATCATTCACTTATAAAAAAAATGCATTTCCAGGTGTTAATGTCATATGCAAAGAGAAATTTTCAAAGTCCAAAAGATCTCATTTGGTTATCTCTACGGTAGTAATATATTGTCCACTTTGGACATAGCTTTGCTTTTGGTTTAATCCAAAATGTCTCATACCAATGGAGATAATTGTCTTCTCTTATATACCACAGATCATGTTCTTCCATAATCAATATGGAACTTTGTCTACATTCACCTTACAAACCGAATACCTTCTTTAGCCATAGAAAAAGGAGTGAAAATGTTGCTACTTATTGTCGTTGGTCAAGCTTGCTTATCTCCAAACATGGAGGTTGTTTGGCTTGAAGATTAGCCTCCTCAACCCCGTCGAACTCTTCAAATGGACTCTATATTTCTATTTCTTAATTTTACTTTTCCTTTCAAAGAAAGATTAATTAAAAAAAAAACACATCAATTTTGTTAGTTAAATTCAAAATTGAAAATTAAAAAAAAAATGTAGAAAATTAAGAAAAGTGTAAAATAAGTTGAAAAATAATAAAAGTAAAATGAATTGTCTCAATCCTCGCATGTTTCACATGCTTGTGGGACGGGACAGGAGTTTCCAACTTTCCATCAGCCAGACGCATACATCCAAACACTTGTGACCTCAATCCTTTGTTTTATTTTGTGGTGCCCAAACAAAATTCATTATTTCTTAAGATTCCCACCCACCATTTTCTTCCAAGTTTTTTACTCTCAATAATTCTACATTTCTTACCTTTTCTATACCCCATTCATTTACTAAAACTCCCACCTTTTAATTTTTACTCTACTCCTAAATAAACCTATAATAACATGGTATAAATTAATCCATCAATAAGCGAAGACAGACGATGAATTAATCAGATTGCGATTAATGTTTGTGAGACGAGGATGAGAGGGTGAGTCCCCACTCCCATGAAAACCAAAAAATCAACAAATTGGGCAAAATAGAGAAAAGAAAAACGTGAATCATGTTTTTTAGTGTATGAGTACCGAAAGCCAGTGCCAGTGCGTGTGTGGGACATGGAGGAACTCTTTGATGGTATCAAGCGATTCAATTTTCTTTTTCTTTTTTTAAGGAAAACAATAATATAAGTTACCGACTTGAAAAAAATATATTCATTTAATAAAAAACTTTTTGTTATAGTATTTTTTTTCTCTGGGAGACGTTTGTTGGTTGGCTTCCTCATTCCTGATAGATCCATGACGACAGTGGCTTTTGGCGGCGATGAGGTTCGTCGGAGGAGAGAAGGAGAGAGCGACAATCAGGTCACCAAATAAGATGTTATTCAATTGTAAAATGCATTTTTTATCAAACTCCAATCACTGACGGACTTCATGAGTTAGATATTTAATTAATTTTATATTATTTTTAACCTACGTGTCATTTTTTTTTCCGGATGATTATGACTAAAGTGGACAATAACATATTATTATGGAGATACTTGGAGGTATGATAATACCGTTAGGAGAAAACACGGAGGAGGAGGAAAAACCCCAAGGACCTATTAGCAAACGAGTCGAGGGACCATTTCGAACTTTTTTTTTTTAATTTAGGGACTAAAATTGTACATTTTAAAAACTTAAATAGACACCAAATTCAAACTTTTGGAACCAAAAATAAAAACCTTGAACTTTGTCATTTGTTTAAAAAATACTCCTATTCTTTCAAAAGGTTCAAACACTACCACTCCTTTTTCCTAACCTTTTCAAAAAAATTACCATTTGAACATCTTTCCAACGAAAAATTGACGTGGCAGAATTCATAACGATATGCCAATTAATGTTGCTTAGAATAGTTAGCTGGCATCACAACAAATTTGACATTTAACGACAGTAAAAAAAATATCATAAGTAGAAATAATTATGAGTTCACAATTGACCACATTAAAGGTCAAATTTGTTGTAGTACTACTTAATTGTTTCCAGGAAGCTTCCATTAATTATCTTATTGTTACATACTCGGGCATGTTAAATTTTCGTTCAAAATGTTAATGGATTCTTGCTTAAAAAGTTTTTTTTTTTTTGAAATGTTTATTAAAGCCAGTGATCCTATTGAAATTTTTGAAAGTAATCTCTTTTCATTACTACCTATAAATCACAAAAGTCAGAGCTGCTGTACATTGTACAACAAGCTCATTGCTTTTTTCATTTTGATTTGCCCCATCTCCTTTGGAGTTGGTTCTAATTTTGGTATCATCCAACCAACGACGACTTTTAACCAAAATATATCAGAAACTACAACATTTAAACAAGTTGACCCAATCCATTTCAATTTCTTTAAAACCATGTTTAATTTGTTGTTTAAGGCGACATGAAAAAGACAAGTTGTAGTCAAATAAACTCACTCCATGTTTAACATAATGTTTTGCTTACCCTCTTATCACTCTTGGAAATTCCTCCAACAAAGAAAAGTCAAACCTCATTCCAACCGCCCAACTTATTGGATGTTGAAAGTCAGGGTGGGCTGAGAAAGAACTCAAAGCTACGTTACGAAATTTACGTGCCCACGAACATCCCCATATTTTTACAACAGTATGATAATATCAGTTTTAGACTTAAACCCATGTGATTTTATCTCATTCAAAAGGTCTTATAATATTAAAAAATGTTGTCTTTATTTATATACCAAAATCCATTATCTACTGGACGCGACAGGGTGGAAAGCGAAAAGTGAAAATTTACCTTAAAAGCAAAGAAAATTTACCTTAAAAGCAAAGAGGTCGGTCAAGTAGAGTTTGAAATTTCACATCCTCGGCTCCACTCCATATTATTTGGAAACATGGTGTCCACTCCATGCTCGAAGATTAGGAAGAAGCCATGTGCGAGGGGTTTAGTCAGCTCCATCGTTTCCTATCGCTCTCTATGATCCTCACAGATGGGATGAACACTAAGGATAAAAAACACTTCCCATTTTCGTGAATTCAAGTAGCTCATCTCAAACAATTATAAGCCATGTGCGAGAGGTCAGAAAGAGAACCCTGCTGAAGAGAAGTATAACAATTGAATGCACGAAAGAAGAAGAACAACAATTGGTTGCCTACTCATTAACTTCAAATGGACACGTGAATATCAACATTTCATCTGCATCTAAGCTTTCCAATTCACATTGCAAGTTTTGAATTTCATACTGCGCTGCTCTTGAAATCAGAAACCATCTCCCTCTATAAATTCTCTCCCCCATTAATTTTCTTGGCTTCACAATTGGAGTCGGAAATTCAATTCAAAATTTCATATCAGGAACCACCACTCTTCCATGTTTCAAACATTCAATCAACTCGTGTTTAAACATATTCTTTCAGTACAACAAGAAATTTACAGCAAATCGGCAAAATTCGAGTCAAGAGTATACCAAAAAATCAATAAACATTAGTATACTTTACGCGACATAAGATAATCCCAATTCCCTCCATATATATCGAACTGAATATTACAGGTGAAAAAAATTAGAACGAAAAGTCTTTGGCAGGGGGGAAACTCAGAATGTGTTTATACAAAAGAAAATACAAGGGAAAATGAGAGGTAGAAAATATTTGCAACAATCATGAGATGAGGTATAAAAAGATGTCTTGTAGGTCCTACACTGTTAAAGAATACATGATTATATATTGCTGGTAAAAATTTACATGACTATGCAGATAAGCTCATCCTTATACTACAAATCACTCATCCCAAGTTTGAGATTCTTCTATAAAACAAAGTTATCAATCATGTGGAAAACCACATCTGCACCATCAGAATTCAACCAATAGCTCTTTACCTGAAAGCATCAATCAAATGTTACGTAAAATGTCAGATGGGTCCGCATCGAAAATGGGAAAAGATTGCAAAAGTCAGAACAGAGGTACTGAGAGAATACTTCAGCGGTACCCGTTCAAAAGCTAACTATAAAACTGTAGATCTGAATAATAAATAGGAAAGATACGTTTGAACAGAGATGTTCACAGAATCCACTTCACTCTGTGTACTTGCCTGAATGGTGTTATGAGCAATATATCTCTGTCTGCTTTTCTGAAAGCTAACATCCACTCGTATCCATGGAACTTGGTTAAGACCTCTAATCATTTCCTCTACGTATCATAAGAAAAAATTATTTCAACCACAAGTAAGAGTAGACAGGAGAAATTAAGAAGTACGCACAAAGAGAACTTGGAGAGATGGTCAAGTTCAAAGTATATATTTAAAGAAGCTGATGGCAAGACAGAGAACATACATGGACGAGAATAGCGGAATGCTATTGAGTTTCCACATAATTTTCCTAATTTTTGATCTACCATTTTCTACTTGTAGAACGCATCTCTTCTCAAAATTGATATCAAATATCGGCCACGTAAAAAATAATGGATGATCTTCAATTGAAATAAAGAGATCAAAATGCAATAAACAAACTTAACATTTAATGTAGGCTGATGTATGTTTCATTTTAGTCATGGCACTAGAAATAACGTTAAATACCCTAATGATGATAACAGATGAAATTTTGTTGATAATCAAGACCCCCTATGAATCATGCACTAGATCCATCCAGCCCGGAATCTAGAATATTGAACCTTGAAACTTATTCACTAACTAACATAGCAGAGGGTCATCAAATTTGATGTATATATGCATGGATTATTGGAAAAAAATTGTACGGTCTTTTCAAACATTTCAGCAGAGGATGGGGATGTTATGGTAAAATGATCACTGAAGTACGAAAGATTTCATCTATGGAGAGAAACCATGAACTAAAAATATTGTGGGTAACTAACTGATAAAATAAAATGGTGTAGTTTCTTTTCTGAACTCCTTTACCAAATAGATTCATGCATATCGCAAGGCATCAGTTAACGGACTTAAATATAGGAGAGAAGATATAGGGGTCTTAGAGAAAGAGTTAGAGAGAAGGTAACCTTCCAAGTCAACTTTCTGATCTATAATTAGCGATGCTTTATTGAAGATGTCATCAGGGCTTGATTGCTCCACAAAGACAATATGTGGGTATTTGTCATTTGTCATAAGCACACTTGACTGGTCACCAATAAGAAGAAAATAAGAACTGTTTGAAACTATGGTTCAATCTTCCCCTAGAAAAGGCTCAACGAACATACAACTAAAACATGTGATGATAAGCAAACCTTACCTTTGGGAGCTCATGTTGACGGCGAATAGATGATGTTCTCCACCCAACCATATCTAATAATAAGTGAAGATTAACATTATAAAATCTTCTTATTGTTTTTCTGTATTAGGTAAATCTCTGACCTCTGTATCTTTCTTAGGTTCAAAGTTGCAACTATTGTCTGAGCTCATGACATTTTGTGATCAGGAAGCTTATAATATATTAACATCTCAAGCCTCTACCACTATGTCAACAAGAAATGAACCATTTATTTATGTCATGAGTGTAAAAGGATATGATCATAATTCACGTTTGCATAAGCCACCCGACGCTTAAACGAGCGTAATGCTGAGCTAAACATCAAAAGTACAAAGACAATATAAAGTCAAACACGATAACTTACATAGTAGAGGCAACTTACGATTATTGTACAAAAGGCAACACTGACATGAATTTCAGGTCTTCGGCGTCAGTAACCATTCTTAGGAGAAGGGGAGGTTTTCCATCATCATCGTCGTCAGTAAGGAAAAGATGCTTTCCAGATCTCCCAGCAACTAAGTGTGCTGTTTGAGAAGCTCCTCTCTCTAAGAAAGGAAGACCACCAAGAACTGGGAACTGAAGAAATAAAAGGAACAAGAAGCTATAAAAAGGAGATGTTTCAATTGATAAATCACACACTCTCTCTGTCCACCCCAACCCACCCTACCAGAAAAAAGGAAAGGATCCACAGGGGATTGGTTTTGTGGCGGGGGGTCAAATAGGACTAATGAATTGCAAGAGATGAGAAGTTAAAGTCAAAAGGTAATAGCCCTGTTGCTAAGGGAAAGACAATATACACTGTCAACAACTCTTTGAACTTTCTGCCTGATTACTTGATTACGATGATGCTAAAGTTTATTTAACAACTTGCTTATGAATAATGTGAAGGATGACTAATGAATTGTGGGAGATGGAAAATTAAAATAAACAAGCAATAGCCCTGTTGCTACAGAAAAGCAAATGCACACTCTTGAACAAATCTTTCAACGTTTTGCTTGATGACTTGATTGCTAAAGTGCAAAAGTTTATTTAACAAATAACATAGTCACCTGTTTATTTCCACGTGAACCTAAATGTGGGGTTGCAAATGTTATGAAGTTCACAGGTTCCAGTCCAGCAATTCTAGCATGATGAAATTGCTCAAGATGTTGCTTCTGCTCTTCAGCCGAGGAATTTTCAGGAGCGCCTGAGGATTCCAATCTAGGAATATGATGAAAAAGCCTTCCAATGGCATACCTTGCAACAAGCCCACCTAAAGAGTGGGCCACAAAAGAGATCTTCTGCACCTCTGGCCTACATCTCACCACAGCTAACACCTGTATTGAACATTATTCAAAGTAAGATCCTTTGAAAACCCAACAAGAATATTAACTATCTAGATAGAGGACCCAAATATTTATAGGGATGCTATTGTTAGACTTAGCTGAGATGGATCAGTAATACATATCACCAATATACCTCTTTGGCAAGCCTTTCACCCATCGTGTCAACACCATCAAATGTCAATCTTGAACTGTTACACTCACTGCCTGCTCAATAAAATTATTTTAGAAGCAAAGAAATAATTTGACCTTTACACATAATAGGTCGACATGAAGGAGTTTCAGCACAATGAATCCAAAAATTCAACATTAGAAAGGTTCAAGTGTGAATATCTTCAAGACTATTCCTGAGGTCACTCCATGAAAGAAAGAGAAGGGTGCATTAGCATTTGGATCAGCTACAAGCATCTTTAAGTGAAAACACAAAAGAAAGGGAACTTACCAATTCAGAATTCTAAATCCATTGCAATCCCCTTTTTTCACTAAAGTTCCGGGTGTATTCTGTTATATTTTTGCCTTTTTTGTGAATATGATATTCAGTTTTGTTGTCTTAAACTGCACTGATGGTTATAGATTTATTGTTCACCCTACGGACACTATTTCAGCTTCTGCATACACGCCCAATTTCTCTCCATTCAAACACTAAGCAACATTGAAATTAAAAGATTGGATCAAGATTTAGAATGCGGGGGAAACCCAATTTAGTCCAGTTGTATGGTGTGACTTTTTGCACATCTAAGGTGGTATTTGAAAAAATTCTTAAAGGTGGATTCGTTTCTAACCGTTTCAAATTTGGCACAAATCCTCTCTTAAATAGATGATTTGGCCAATTATCTTCGTCTCTTAACCCAAAATAGTCTTTGTATGATGCAATTTGTCTTAGTATTGATTGACTAAAAGTAGCCCATCTTTGTCAAAAAAAAAAAAGTAAAAAATAACAAAAATCCTCACATCAAATGCATACATCATACAGAATCCATTGAACTTCAACAATAGTTCAGTTAATGGAGTGGTAACGTGTTACCTACAAAATGAAAGGAATATCAAGCACTTACGGTGTACGATAACCTTATCAGGAAGCTTCTTCACAAACTGCCCTGCAGCGTATCTCCAATCTGCAGCACTGAACAAATGAAGAAAGGCAGAAGGATTGATGGATACGCAGATCCCATCACAAATTAACAGGCTAAAATTAAAATACCAACATTCCGAGAGTTAAATTTAACCAATCAGTAGCGATCAGAGTACAAAGAAAGCGCATTGAATGAGAGAGTACCTCCCAATTAGACCATTGACCATGATGACAAGGTGCTCCGGCGCGGCCTTGGCATCGGCATAGAAAATTTCCTGGCCGCCGAAATCAGGGTCGACCTTGAGGCCTTTGCTGCGGCGGCTCCCGAAGCAAGGGGCAGCCACTCGCCGGGGCAAGTCCATCTTGGGCCGGTGGGACAGCAACAGAGCAGCAGCAGGATCCGGCAAGGGCTTGGGTCGGAAGCGAGCAAAGGGGTTGGAAGAGCAATGGCGAGAGAGAGTGGTGGAAGGGTGGTGGGCAGTGGCAGGCCCCGATGGCGGGGTGTGGAGCGGAGTATTGGCCGCGACCATGCCCGCCTCGCTGCTGGGCTTGCGGCTTTTTAAGACAAGACGGAATTTGAGTAGACGGAAAAGCTACCAACAGTTCACAAATCTAAATGAAATGGAACCAATACTCGCACGTGTACTCTTCTTGCATTTTGCACGTGCGTCCTCTTTTTTTTTTACATTTTTTCAAACCCAAACTAACAAACATGACTATTTTGTTTTCTATTTGTTGGTTTTGAAATTTAATTTTGCTTTTTTATTTTTATGTTTTAAAAGAGCTAAAAATAAAGTATGAAAGGTAGATAACTAACTTTTAGAAAATTTAAAAAATTTGAGAAAGAAAATAAATACCGAATGAACTCTCTAAAATTGAGTGGGATAAGTTAGGGATGAACAAAAATATTCGAATAACTTACTAGAATGACGAAATTTGATCAAATCGATATCAATTAATCGATCTGATAAACGTTTCGATCGACTTTGGTTTTTAAAAACTCAAAACTAACGAACAATCAATCGAACTAGAAAAAATGCAGTTTTTTCGATTCTGACCGATTGATTGACCTTTTAACTTTTTATATAAAAAATAAAAAGTTGTAGTGTAATGTAATTCGCAAAGCGTAGATGCAGTATGCAGTTTTCTCGAGATAATAAACTAATCTTATAAAAATAAATATATTTTTTCAATTTCCTCTCTCTTTTCTTGTCGATTCTTGCTTGTCTCTCTTCTTCGGCGTCCGTCTTCGTCTCCCTTTCTCACTTCTCTTATGTTTTCTTCCCTTTGTATTTTTGTCATATTCTTCATTTTGTTCTTTTTGGTTCTTATCTCATTCTCACAAGATTGTTTGTTTTTCTTTTGCTAGCAGAGTTCAATCTTGAATAAATTTCAAACAAAATCAAGCAGTTCGTCAATGTAATTAGCTAGTCGGTGTTGTAGGACCTCTGATCAATACCATCAAGTTTCAATTTACAAAAATCAATTTGTCAATTGTCGACATCGATTTGAGCCTAACATCAATGCGGACCAATCGTTAGTACAAGCAAACTTGCATATTTTTCAAAAAAAGACAAAAAAATTAGGAGTTGAAGGTAAACTTGTTGCAATTTTACCAAATATGAAGTATATTTATTCCTTAATTCACACAAGTTTATATCACTCACAAGTCACACCTATCTTCTTAGGTCAAAATTTCTCCCATTCTTGCTTCCTCGCACGTGTTTAATATCTCGAACTAATTTATCTTTTAGTAGCCCTTTTTCTATGCATTTTTTTCATTATTTTCCACCCCCAAATTTTGTCTTCCATTAATATCTCTTTGCACACATTTTGTCTCTCACTAATACTTTATCCAACTATTTTTTATTTTCAAGCATACGCTTTCTCTCCTGCTAGCTAGTTTTTCCTTTTACAAAACTCTCTCTCTCTGTTTTTTCTCTATACCTCCCACAACTTTTTTATATAATTATTTTTATATTTTCTCACACTAACAAATATTGTTTTTTAGACTAAGAAAATGATCATCTTCTCCCCGTCCAAAAACAACATTTGTTAGCTTTAAATGTTAACGAGATATTATCTCTCGCGAGCTCTTTCTATAATTTCTATAAACACAAACGAGAAGCATTTTTGAGTAACTAAAAAAATCATAATATTTTTTTGATTAATAATTGCACGATGTGGAATTGAACCATCAATTAGGATGGTAATAGATACACATACCTTCGTCCAATTTGAGCGGGCTAATATGCTTATATATAAAATGAGGATTATTTATATATTCTACCTCTACTGTAAACAAAGTGCATTTCAAGAATCAAAATTAGAGGAGGAATACGAACAACCATTATACCGCATTATTAATTCAGTTTTACTAGTCACTAAAAAAATGAAAAAACTATTTTTCATCAATTAATTAGTAATACAATGTGAATTCAACTTAGTGGGTAAGACACTTTATTATCATTTTAAATATGAAGATTGATTTCCTGTTTGTAATTGTTGAATTTTAAAAAATTAATTAATTAATTAGTAAAAAACTTAATAGTTCCAACTATATATAAGATTATTTTAATTTTACTAGAAAATATACGTAAGATTAATCTAATTTAATTTATTAAATAAATGAGCATTTGGATCCATTTTAAATTGTTTTTTTAATAGAAAACAATATGCAAAAGTCTGTTGAAGATAAATTTTGATCAATTATCCAGTGTTACGTCATTGTTTTAGATTAGATAAATGACAAAATTATATTTAAGGGGTGTCACATCCTAAAAAAATAAAGAAAAATATTTAGATGTTTATCACATCTATCTTTGTGCTTTGTGCTAACAAAATTTTGATAACATTTTAGTTTCTGAAACATATAAAAAGAATATCTTTTTTTCTGCATTTCTAATCTAAGAATGTAACATGAAGTTTAATAACCACAAGAATTTTGCCACGTGTTAGGTTCTAGAATGCAGTGTGATTGGCATCTTGCCCCCGTGAAGAAACAAGAGAGAGTCACGGGCACCACATAGCCTAATTCACGAGACCACATTAATTATTATACTCCCATTGCCTTTGCCCTTGCCCAATGCCCATTTATATTAATACAAGTGTACTGTGTTGGCTGTGACTGAGAATGTGATCGCCATGCAAAACCAAAACCACATATTCTACGCAGCCCCACTAACTCCACCCATTTCCATATCTTCACATCCGTATATATATAAGAAGCAATATATAATTGCAACAATAACAATCACCAGCCCCCACCAAACAATAATCACAATGCTGCTTCCGTTGCTCTTCCTGCTCCTCCTCACGCCCCAAGTTCTCTCTCACAACATTTCTCAAACACCTGGTGTGCAACTCAAACCAAGCAACCGGAAGCCGCCCGACAACGAAACCATCTACAGAGTGTCCAAGCAGCTCTGCTGGGGCTGCATCACCGAGTCCATAGAGTTCCTATTCGCGCACAATCTGATCCGAGCGGCCAAGTTTGAGTTGCCACTGGCGTGGAACTTCCAGCTGGAGAAGTACGCGCGGTGGTGGGCAGGGCAGCGGAAGGGGGATTGTAGGCTGCAGCACTCTTTCCCGGAAGACGATTTCAAGCTGGGAGAGAACATATATTGGGGGAGTGGGTCGGCGTGGAGGGCGGTGGATGCAGTCACTGCGTGGGCTAGCGAAGTGAAGTACTATACGTATGCCACTAATAGCTGCGAGGAGGGGCAGATGTGCGGCCATTACACGCAGATTGTTTGGCGAAATACGCGCACCATCGGCTGCGCTCGTGTTGTTTGTGACGATGGGGATGTCTTCATGACTTGTAATTATGATCCCCCTGGCAACTATGTGGGTCAGCGTCCTTACTGAAACTCAAGCTTACTATTGTCGTGAAATGATATATACTTTTTGCTTAAATACTAGACTTATATCAATTAAATCTACTTGTCTATTGAATTTAATAAATATAGACCAATATAAATAAATAATCTAGGAAAATTAGGTCTTGATTTTTTCACTTTTTTATACTAATGAGTTTTGGATTTATTAGACATTTTCTTGAATTCGTTTACTTATTAGATACAAAATTGAGTGTTTTATCACATAAGTTTTGAGCTTTCAATACTCTATTTAATATGTCTTTTGAATTTTAAACAATATCAGTATGTAATTTAACCAAATATTTATAAATGGGTACCTTACGTGTCTGTATTTTCTTTCTTTCTTTTAGTTCAACAAGTGGAAATTCGAACTTCTAATCTTTTAGTAGATGATAATGCTATATACTTTAACTAATTGATCTATATATATATATATATATATATTTTTTTACTACAACAATTATATTCAAATTCGTAGATTCTTGTGTTATAATATTGCGGTTCTCACATGGATGACAACATGATATTACTCGTTATTATTGTGAATATTATTATAGAATCCAAGAAGGTTAAAAACAAAAAGAGACAGTTGGGTTCTGCAATACTCTTAAAAAATTTATGATGTAAAACAAAATTTTAATTAGGTAATTCATTCAATCATTGATCGACTCGAAAGGATGGTCTTAGTCAAGCTACCATTAATTAATGACCCTACTACAATCAATTGAACTTTTACTCTTTACTAAATTATTTATCACTTGTCAATAATGAACTATAATTGTCATAGTTTATAGTGACTGAATAATAATGAAACAATAATTTATGTTCCCAAAAAACTTGAAAGTTTAACTTTTGTAATGATAGAATATTGGCTAATTCAATGTCTTGATCTTCTTTATAACTTTTTAATTGGATAAAAGTTCAAACCAGTATTTTGTTTTAATCATTTGAGTTATATTCACGTTAGAGATTTATTTCTGGTTATCGTATAATGTTTGACAGTTTAGATTTCCGTCTTTTCAAGCAATTATCTCATTAAGAAAATCAATGGATAAATATGTCTCAAATAAGATTGAAAGACATTATGGAAACACTCGATAATTTTCATGGGCCTGAATTGGACCCAATGAAAGCCCATCTGAGAAAGAATCCAAATTGTTTATGGAGCCCACAGTTCATAGCATAGGCCTAAAGTGGTTGGGAATTTAAATGTGCCACGACATATGCATGTTTCCACGTTCAGAATTTCTGACTGTCATACACTCCTCATTCTGAAACCTGCACTGCTCGGTATAATTCTATTATTTTAACTAATTAAGTGTTCTTTTTAGGCTATGTTTTTATCAGATAATATTCTTGCACATTTCATTTCTTCTAATAATGGTATAAGTTCGTTTAAGACTCAAACCAACTCAATCTCTGTGTGAGTGCATTACAAAAATACATAATTATTGGCTATCAAGCAAGTTTATAATTAAGTTATTAGAAAGACACAATCATACGATGTTCTAGAATTAATAGACTAATTATTATTAGATGAGCTAAACCACTTTCATTTTTAATTTTCTAATCATATGATAATTTAAATCTATGGTATCTAATATTAATAATTGTTTAGATGTTTATTTCAAATATTATAAATAGATAATGTCAATAGATTGTGTTGGAACTAAAATAATAAATTGTAGATCAGCTATTGCCAACCTAAATATTATCCATTTCGTTACAATATTAATAGGTTTAAAACTGTAAATTCGCAATTATGTGACAAGAATAAAGATGTAAGCCAACGCTTTTCTTTTTCTTTTCTTTTTTTTTTTTTTGGTACCTTTGATACAATAAAATGAATTATTTTAAAAAAATCAACACTGGCACAGGCCCACAATAATCGTAAACAGAAAAATCTTCGCGAGTGGCAATGAAAATTAAATAAAAAGAATAGTAAATATTTAATATAAATTTTATTTGGACGGAAGTATACACCACTCCTTGAAAAGGACGGGAAAAAAAAGTATATGAGGGGATGCACCACACAAAATCAATTACATTACATGTGAATTTGACAAAGACTTGAACACAACGAATAATGGTGAATTTTACAAACAAATATTTTTCACTCCAAATATACAGACTCCGACTCCGAATTCTCAACACGACAAAATGGTAAAAATTAAAACCCAGAAGCAATTATTTCTTATGATTAATTTTGTTTAATAAGGTCTCTCCCCAATGTAATTACCCGGAGGGTCGTAATTGCAAGTGATGAAGACGCCCCCGCCGGCGTTACAGGTGACTCTGGCGCACCCAATCCGGCGCGTGGACCGCCACACAATCTGCGTGTAATGCCCACACAGTTCCCCCTCCACGCAAGAATTGGCCCAGTAGCTGTACCATTGCCGCTCCGACACCCAATCGGCGACGGCCTGCGCCGGAGTCCATGCGTTGCCGCTGCCCCAGAAGATATTTTCGCCGTAAGGCCCGCCGGAGTGCCGGAGAGCGCAATCCCCCCGCCGCTTGTTGGCGTACGACTGTGCGTAGCGGGCCAATTTCGCGTCCCACACCAGCGGAGCTAATCGGAGCGCATATCTGGCGGCATTGTGAGGGGCCAGGAATTGCTTCTGCAGGGCTCGGTCGTTCCTCGCCGGGGCCGCGGCGCCGCTGCTGCCGCTTGAGCTTAGGAGGACCAAAATGGCGATGGGGATTACAAGATTCACATCCATTTTTGTTTCTCTTTTTTTTCTCCTCCTCCAATTGAGCTCTCTCGGAGCTTGATTGGACAGCTCTTTTTTTGTTTTTTTTTTTCTTTTTGAGGGTATTTCTATTTTTCAGTTTTGAGTAAGTTCAGCTGATGATATTTATAAAGGAATGGGGTTTGGAGTAGAGTGGTTGGATACAGGAGAGTTGTGTGTCAACTATGGGGTGGCACCCATGTTCGATAATGATTACCACTTTCTTTTCTTTCTTTTTTGCTATTATACTATTCATTCATCTTTCTCCTTATTCATATAAGATTGTTCAACATCCAACTCTTGACCCTCCCCAAAATTTAATTATAAAACTTTGGTTACAGCTGAATCTAATAAACTTCTAAGACTTCAATTTTTTATCCCATATCCAATGGATTTATGAATATTTAATGAATTTTTGAACTTTCGCTAGGGTGTCTTTGATGTTTTCTACTTTTTTTTAATTCACTTAATTATTAGACACCATTTGAATTTTTTGTCTATTAAAATCATAACTTTTTTGAAAAAGTTAAGTTCATATATATATTATGCATTTTTAATATTCAACGAATTATTAATTTAAAATTAAAAATTTAAAGATTTTGTTAGACATATTTTATAATTTAAGAGGTTTATAAAATCTTGATTGACTAAATTGATAATTTGAGAGTACGTTTTAGAAAGTAATTAACTACACTGTACGTGGTTGATTGAACAAAAAGAAAGCACATCGGCTGTGAAGTGTGAAAAAGGGTGCCATCGAATCAAGATTATTAAAATGAAACTCTGTTCTCTTTTCAATCATTGTTCATTAATATTAAAATCAGATGCTACATCTACCAAAAGTCGGCCAATATCAATCCTCTGATTTAAAAATTAGTAAACTCAATCTGATACGTCATTGTTGGGAAATTAATGGCCACCCCTGCCAACTCACAAACATTTATTTGGACCTTTTTTTTTAATCTTTTTTGACAATACATTTATTTGGACTCCATAAACTAAATTTCTATGAATATACTAATGTAATATGTTGATGCCGATCCGCAAAACTGCCGCACGAGCACTACGCACACATTAGTTTTCAAGCTCAAACTCAACTTCAGCAATGAAATTTTAGCATTGGTGTTGAATGGGCTTCGATACGTAAGCTATAACTTAAGTAGGTGCAAACGATATTATGAAGTACTAAGATTTATGGTAAGAGTCTACTTGAGAATATGCATATCTTATTTTATAGCTTAAGTAGAGCTTTCACACGGAGAGAGAAAGAGAGATATAGTTGGTGAGGTCTTGGGCCCACTAACATTCTACTAGTTCTTTTTGATGTTGTAGAGAGGTGCTGCAGTATTTTGGACGATCTCTTGACACGTATCAAAATTTACTACTTCCTTTTGATGTTGTAGAGAGGGGCTGTAGCATTTGAGACGATCTCTTGACACATCATCAAAATTGGTCACAGCGTATCAGTGCCTCCCTCGTCGTCTATTTGTTCACCTAGATCATTTCATTGCACTCTCATCCTCTTTCGCTTTTCTTGGTCGCGAGTCATGAATTCGTACTCTAGACCATGCGCTATGGGCTTGAAACATAGAGCTCTAGATTAGTTCCGTAACATAATAATATATACTTTTACAAAATGTGTTGATCTTTTAGATTTTCCTGAGGAAAAAAGTGTATTATGTTGTTGGTGTTTATAATTAGAAATATAGTTGTCAATATGTAGCTCATAATTTTGTACTAAGAATAATGATTTGAAATTATATGGTTGTATTTGATTTTCAAAGTTTAAAGTGTAATACTTTAAGTTTGAAGTTTTAACGGTGATAGTTATAAATGTTCTAATAATTTGGTTAATGATTCTATAAAGAGGAAAAAGAGACTTCGTCGAGTTAAAAGAGTGATGTAATGCAGTGGGCAATCTAATTTTACTAATGTGATAAAATTACGTTTTTTTTCCTTATTTTTAGTTTATATGGATATTTGAACACACGATGTTTCTGTTGGGTTTTGGCAAAATATTGGAATTAAAGTTGTCCCACCTTGGAAGAATACAAGGAGAGATGTGTTTGAACTACTATAAAAGAGTTCATGGGCTTGGGTTTTAATCATCCCAATTGAAATACTTTAAGCCTGATATACTAGCTCTAGTTAACTGAGCGGTATTTGCTTTGAAATAGTGTTTTGTGTAATTGGGGTAGGGGAGAGAAATTTTTGTGGTTGTAATAATTTTTCACATAGTAGATTTTCCCTTGTGGGCCGTGGTTTTTTCTCCGGTTTGGAGTTTTTCCACGTTAATTTTTGTGTTTCTTTATTTTATTGCTTTCTTTAAATTTCTCAGTTATTTTCTACTTATTCCTGCGGTAGAAGTAGGAGATTTTTCCCAATAGTTTCGGTCAAAATTTGGTACCTTAACTAGTTAAATTATGTCAAGTTGACAATAATATTAAATTTTGTTTAATAATTTTACTGGTTTAATTATTTTAGCTCCCAATAAGTTTAATTATCAAATAGTTATGTAAATAAAAAAAAACATTATTAATATTTTTTTATCCAGGAGTCGGCGACCTTTTAACCTTTATATTGCTTGGTGAAAGTTGCGTCCTAGAGTTCTGAGAAATTCCTTAAGGTCCAAAATCACCGTACCCAAACTATCCCTTGAGATATGTGGTAGACAAGTTAAACACAGTTGCTATCCTTGAGATATGTTGTAGACAAGTTAAACACAATCTTGCCCATAACCTTTGACATGCAAATACTATATATATATAAAACAAATCCTTAACCTTTGACATGCAAATGCTAACTATTTTAAAAGTGCAGAAAACTTAGAAGAAAGCACTGTTATAATCAAGTTTACCTTTTTTAAAACATGTAACGAGGAAACAAAGTTATTGTCAAATTTTGAAGTATAGACCATCTAAATATGGTTTTCTCGTAGATAAAAATTCAAATCTAACTACTTAAAATGTATGTAATTTGTTTCGACTCAAATCTGATTATTTGGAAGATTTGTGAGGAATGAATTTAAACATGACTTATAAAATAGAGGTGAGCACTCCATGCTCAAGTTAATGTCAGAATTTACCATGATATTTATAGGTGTCATGCGATTTCTTGGTCACATGTTGCACGTTTCCATAAAAGATGGCAAAAATTTGATTTTTGATGAGTCCTTTATCTTAATTCAGCTAATTAGTCTTTTCTCTTTAAAGATAGGTCAACTGCAATGGTCTAAATATAAATTGATGTTGGTGTTTCAAGCTTATTTGTCCATATAACTTACTTATGTTTCTATGATATGTGGTAGGGTGTTATTCATCCTCCAACACAATTATTGCAATACAAATTTAAAAATGGTTAAACCAATAAGTAAGTTACTTAAATATATCAAATAACAACCAAACTCGAGCAATAAATTTAAAAAGAGAAAAAAAAAACAATATTTTAACTCAAAACGTTGAAACAGTGAGCTACATAAACATAGGATTCAAATTGCAAAACTAAAATTTTATAATCAGTGCAAAGACTAAATTTAACTAATTAGTAATTACATTGTTTTAGCTTTAAGTTATTTGGTGAATATTACTTATTAAAAAAACAGTCTTTTCAAAGAATGGAGAGTTTTTTTTTTTTTTTGGATAGAAGCAGAGCAGTCAAATGTGCATTAGCAAAGCTACGGTGGTCGCCATTAATGGCGAAATCCACGCTGCACTTATACGTCACATCCAATGACAGCCAGATGGGCTTCCCTTAATTAGTGGAGATGCACTCTCAACCACTCTTTTATTTTTTATTTTCGGAGAAATTAATCACACAGTCACAAATGTTTGATTTTCGTGTTTTATTTCATATAAATATATGTCATTTTCACAACTTATTTTTACTATAAATTAATAAATTTCAATTTTCCGTTTCCAAATAACAAATGGAATGCAACTACACTTACACAAGAGACTCGTCCTTCAAAATTTAATGGAAGAATTTTTCTATCGAGATTCTTGTTCATGTCAAATAATGACAACTATTTTTTTAAGTATTTCAAAAGTGTCATTAGGCGCGATATTGAAAAAAGGTTTTTTTTTTTTTAGTGAAATTTGAAAGAGGTAACAAATTGTCTCTCACGGTCATATTAATTATTACACAATATTTTAAATATATTCATTTTTTAAAATATTTATAAATCTAGATATTCGGGATTTAAATAAGTTTCTCAGTGAAAATTGATACTCATTTAATACAAATATTTATATTAATAATTAAATAATAATATTTTAATGTCAAAACGAGTATAGTTCAATTGTAATTGATATAGGTTGGGTGATCAACAGGTTGTGAGTTCAATCCTCTGTCCTACATATACTAAAAAAATGATAATATTTTAATAAATAATTAAACAAATATAATAAATAACTAATCAATCTACTTATTCTTGTTTAATTAATTTGTCCACGACTCTTCTGTGAGTTTCTGACAAAATATGTTAATATGGATAGCTTGCTAATTTTTACGTGACATGATTAACGGTATAAGAAAAGACTTACGTATATATGTGGTAAATTCTGAATTTTGTAGGCTCTGTTAGCAAGCTGCCAAGATGGTCCATTACAAAACTTGGGCCCAGCCCATTATTGGAATCGGGTGGATTACGACCACCATACACACGACACAGAGGGTTGGGTTCTGATCCTGATCTTGTATCAAATTTCGGCCCGAGTTAATAAATAGGATCAACTTTTACCCCAAATAAGAATGTTAACGGGGCGGCGCGGGACCAGGGCATCTCCATCCCTACCCCGTTCGGGACCTTTTCTCCATCTTCACTGAAATTATGGACGGGTGTATATATATATATTATATATTTTTTTAAATTTTTAAATTTTTCAAAAAAGATTTATAAATACTTTAATTTTTTTTTGGAATGGTATAAATACTATTACACTGTTTTAAAAAATTAAGAAAGTATTTATAAAAGTTAATTAATATTAATATTATTATGTATGAAAATTATAAATTATTAAATGGGGCGGAGAGACCTCTCCTCATCTTGACCCCTTCATTGTCGGGGACTCGGGTCAGGATCCCCATTTTTACCTATCTTTGGTCAAATTGGGGATTCTCCATCAAGTCAAGTATCCGTATGGATTGAGTTCCACGGATTTTTTTACCATCCATAGTTTCAAACTTCCAATTTTCACTAGTTGTCTCTAATAAGTCATATTATATTTTATATTTCACAAATATTGTTTTTTTAATATCTATAAATCTAGATTTTTAGTATTTAAATAAGTTTTTTTTTGTTATTATTATAAAATATATTATTTCGGTCTCAAATATATTAATGATTAAATAAAAATATTTTAATAAATAATTAAAACGAATATAGTAATTAATCAATGTAATTATGCTTACTTTTCTGTAGTTTTTCTTTAAAATTTAAGGCATGTATTATTTTTTAGAGTTTACAACTTAGGGTCTACCGTTTAGGATTTATAATTTTATTTCTTTACAAAAATGAGAAATGGTATCCAATGGGTCTAGAGTTTAGGATTTTATTTGTTTATTAAAAATATATAAATATAGATAGTTTGGTAATTTTCATATGGGCTCATACAAATCGACCTCTATTTTGACAAATTTAGAGGTTTTAAACATTTATATAATTAGGTCTAGTTGTTGTTATCGCTTTAATTTTAATTTATAATTCTAATTTTAGATAAGTGTGCATCATTCATCGTAAACTTTAAAAAGGGTTTGAAACTTTTACCGTCCAATAAATTTTTATTTCAAGAATGGTTGAAAACAGTATTATAAGATGCGTCTTATATATATGCTTTTGAGTTATTAGTTTTAATATCTTTCTCAAATTCTTTCCCAAACCATAAGAGACATTAAAGCTATCTCTTTTGTTGAAACTTGTAAGCTTGACTTACTTCAAGGATCAACTTTGTGTATTAATCAATGCAAATTTTGATTTCCCTTACATTATTTTTTGGAGTTTTTTACTCTTTTTTTTTAACATTGGGTGAATTGGAAAAAAAATCGAAAGGTTATAGTGAGAATACTGGTCGAGCATTAATTTCACTCCCAAGAGATCAAACATTTGGAGAGAATAAATTTTTGAGAGTAAATTGCAGCTTGACCATTATATTTGGGCTGCTTCTGTCTTTTATAAAGAAATTATGCATCAATAAGTCGATATTACAGCCTTGAGTTGTCTAGAAGAAGGGAGAGGAGACACGTCACACTACTTATGAGAGAGCCGTAGTTCAAAGTGCCATGGTTGTTTGACTCAAGACTTTGAAGAAACCAACCAAAAAATTATAGCACATTCGATTTACAACCCGACGCATCATTTCAAGTGATTAATTTGATTTTCTATTAAAGCGAAAGTATCATAGAAAAGAAAATCTCCCAACTTGAAAATTTCCCAAGAAACCTACAAAGAATCCCAAGGTTGTTGACGTGGTGGAAGCTAGGTCACTCATTTTCAACCGCATTTTAAACCTACTCCCATCATTCTCTCTTCCTCTCCCTGCTCCTTTTAATATCACCCATTTCCTGTGACTTCAATTTTAAAATTTCTATTAGAAATTTAAACGACATGTCGGCGTCCCATCGCCGAGCCACCACAAACCACATCGCCGTTCTGGCCTTCCCTTTCGGGACCCACGCAGGGCCTCTTCTCACCCTCGTTCGCCGCCTCTCGGAGGCCGCCCCGCACCTGCGCTTCTCCTTCCTCAGCACCGCCAGATCCAACGCTTCCATCTTCTCGGGGGGCTCAACTCGGCCCAACCCCAATATAAGGCCCTATGACGTGGGGGACGGCTTGCCGGAGGGCTACGTTTTCGGAGGCAACCAGGTGGAGGTGGTGGAGCTCTTCCTGAATGGGGCGGCGGAGAGGTTTAAGAAGGGGATGGAGGCGGCGGCAGCGGCGGCCGGGGAGGAGATCGGGTGTGTGATGAGCGATGCGTTCTTCTGGTTCGCGGGGGATATGGCCGGAGCAATGAAAGTGCCGTGGGTGGCGCTGTGGACGTCCGGGCCTCGGCCTCTGTTCCTGCATCTCGAAACGGATCTCATCAGGGAGAATCTCAAATCTTCTGGTACGCCGCATTTTCATCATTTTCTTACGCTTATTATGGAATATGGAGAATTAGATGATAGAGAAATTTTACAAGTTACAGGACGAGGGATTGTTAGTTTAGTGGGCTTGGTTAGTACAAAAGCTTTTTAAACTGAAGTCCAAGCCCACATCAACCAGAACTGAAATCAATACCTCTTACAAATTAGAGAGATGGTTAAAAAATGTGATAACCAGATAACCAGAAGACGACCGGTGATCATCTGAAGTCCATTTACGAAGAAAATAACAAGTTCAAACTGAACTGAGCTAAGGAACTTCCACAAAGTAAAAAACTTTAATAAGAGAGGGTATTAATTACTTTTACTATTATAATTTTCGCAGGAGGTAGATTCTTTTATTGTCTTTTTAATATTTGGAAAAATACACCTATTTTATATTTTTTACAAGTTTTAAAGAGATACTTTTAGTACTGAATAATAATTTTAAGTAGTCTCTAAGTAAGTTGACCATTATCTACATAATTTATAAAATAATAATAATAATAATAATAAATTGACCAGCCAGTCATTCAATATTATGTAAGGACAACTAATTAGAGACCAAAAATGTATATATTTTTTTTAAACGATCAAAAATGTATTTTGTATTAGAAAAAACTCCTTCCTCAAGAATTAAGGAAGAACTTCCTCCGTGATACCATGACAACATAGAAATGTAAAAACAAAAAAATTACAAAAAGAAATAATGAGTTGGTTTGCCGCATCATCCTTATATTCAAGCACACGTCACACTAAAGGGTCAAAGTTTTTTCCTTTATTTAATTTTTATATATATTTTTCTTTGAAATGTGAACCCTTAGACTGGATAGGAATTTGTTTTCTTCCGTTTTTTTCTCTCTTGTCTTAGACTTAATAATGAAAATAGGCACACACAAAAAAAAAAGGATAAGAAAAAACAGAAGAGGACACAACATGAGTTACATTACAGCTTACAGTAGTACAAAACTTCAATACATTATCAGCGGCGCTATTAAATATCCACACTCAGTTCGTTAATGCCCAGCCGCCCACGTCCACGTTATATTCAAATTTCTGTTTCTAGAGAAGGAAAAAGAAAAAGCGGGATATTTCAAAACCATTCCATTTGTTTCTAAAATATTATTACAGACAAACAACAACGAGAAACGGATTGAAAAGTAATTACAGTGTACAAGTTAATTAAATATGACAAGAATTTGGTAGCAGGATCAAGAGAGAAATCCCTGGACTTCTTGCCCGGACTCGGTTTCTCATCAATGCGCGTAGCTGATTTACCCGAAGAAGTCGCGTCCGGGAGCGCAGACTCACCCTTCGCAGACATGGTACACAAAAT